CCACTTTATTTTTGTTGTGGAAAACAGGCCTGGTCATAAACCCAAACATTTAAATAATTTTTCCCAGTTGATTGCACGTTAATTGCCAAGGTGAYTTGGATATTGCATATTTCCTTCTTCTTTCTGTCTTCCTCAGGCAGGKAAGCCACAGAAATAATATGTTGAGACATTTTAATATTATAACAAAATTTGACAGTCTTCTGACATTAAAAAGCTGATGTTTTTTTAAACTAACCGGATTTTAAAAAACCCTGAGGTCTAAGAAACCTTAAAGTAGTTTTAAAGACTGTTAAATCACAGAAWTTGAGATATTCATTATAAACCAGTCAAAATTCTTACATTTTTCAACAGTAACATGAAAATAAATATAAACTCAATACCTGACAAAAGAGTAGCAAGTAAAGAAAGAAAGWGGGTGGGCAGACTTTATTGCTTAGGAAAAGTCAGCCCTTGCAAATGAAAATTGCTGTATTATAAACAAATGGATCTTTCTACATTCAAAAGAAAAAAAAAGGAGCTCAAACAAAAAAAATAATTATGAAAAGGAGATAATCTTTATAGGACAGTGATCTTGTAGAGTAATAACAGCCTATGAGTGCACTGCTGCACCAAAAAATAGGCTAAGGTGACCTTGGGTACATAAACAGGATATGAAAATAGCCATGGCTCTTAATACATATTGTTTAAAGGAATGATTTCAGAATCCTGCATGTGATCCTTCTTTTAAAAATGAAAAAAAATAAAAACCATAAAACCTGAAAGAAAGTACAGACATGTCAGAAGAGARCAACAACTCTCTTGAGGGCTGGAAGTGAGAGACTTCAAAAGCTGTGTGTTTGTTTTATAAATATAAACTTTACAGTCAATAATAAAGTTTTCAGGGACAAGAAAAGGTACCAGTTTTGTCCATTTCTAGGTGTTGTCTGTAATGTCTCCCTACCCTGCTGGAAGATCCTGAAACTTTCCGGGGTTTTCTGTGTATCTTTCACGCAGTACAGATGAGAGACTCCTGAGTTATTAGTACTGTCTTCAAATTAATGTCTGTGTGTTGTTCTGTTTTCCTTTCAAATCTTAGGCTTAGCCACTCCAAGTAGGATGGCTACAACGAGCAGATCAAACTGGGTGATCAGTTATCAGACTGTCATTCCATGAAGGTGGCCAAAATCCTTTACCAATTGTATTAATTTACACATCTCCTCTCTGGAGATGTGTAAAGAAAGAAGAAACTGGTGAAAGGATTGTTTGGAAGGCTTTTTCCTTGGTTATACAGACACAATTACAGAGTTCATCTTTAGAAGATTACTTTGGAATTAAAATTAAAATTCCWCACTGTCAGTCCTCGGAGCTCTGCTCATGGTAATTTTAAGTAAAACCGTTTCCTTGGGACCAGGCAAAACCTCTGAAAAGATTAATTTCAGTTGTAAAGTCTAATAATAGCAGTGTAAGATATGTCCAGAAGAAGGGAAACTGAAGCTCGGTATGATGTGATGAATTATAATAATATTGAGGTATGAACTGGAAAACAAAGCTAAACACTTCTAATTATGAACTGTGCAGTTAATTAAACAAGGCTTACAAGTATATGTTTAAGTCTGTATATTGTTGTTGGRCAAGTGGCAGTATCCCAAATTCAGTTATTTAAGGAAGGGCATTCAAGTGCTAAATCGGAGGGTTTTTTTAATCCAGAGATTTTTTAAAAGATCTTAGAGTTCATTTTGAATGGTGACGTGACTTTGTAATGGCAGACTTAAACTCTTACTCATTGTACAAGTTTTAGAGCTGATATCACCTCAGAAAAGTGACTGCTCAAAGTGGAGGTCAGATGTCACARATGTCAATAACATTGCTTAGTCTCAACTAATGTACTCAGAGCTTTTTCCATAAAATATTCACTGCAGTMGTTCCAGACACACTTTTGTTTATGGTGGTAGCTAATGGCTCGTCCATAATGGCCACTTTCCTTTTTTCTTAAGGAAGAATGGAACTTTTTGTGGCATTTAAGGGAGCATAAATATGTAAATGTAGGGGAAAGGGTCAATAAATATGGTCTCCTGATTCCATTAACTTTTTAGGGAATTTTCTCCTTTTAATAGGTGTAGTGCCCACCATCTCATTGTAGTCTCTTTGAGTGTGAATTTCCAGTTCTTTTGGAACTTCCCCTATCCTGCAGGCAGAGGGGAAGCCTCCACTCCTGTCTGTAATTCAGATGTATACATGCTGGCATCCCTCTTAGCCTGCAGCTCTTTGGCAGAGGGAATTTGCTGCCATAAAAGCTGTGAGTTGGAAGCTTCTTGGCAGTGCAGATTTGTCTGCCATCAGGTCTGTGCTGCTGGGGATAGACTGCTTCTTAATTACCTCGTTTAAAGATAGTTTGGGTATCTCTGTCCCACACTGAAGTCTAGCATGTAGATACCTCCAAATTACTGAAGTGTGCGAGGATTTTATTGCTTTATCCATGTCCTCATTTGTGTAGCAGGCCCTGCTGAATCCACAGCTGTACTGGAGTTTGTATTTCTTTGACATAAACAGAATGTTTACTTAATCTTTCAAGATTTTGATAACTATTGCATGTCTTGTAATACATGTGCTGTTGGAAAGACAGTCTTTTCATTTTTATGATTTTCATTTCTGACTCTGAACTTGATACCATTCTAGCTCTGGTTAGTAGTTGTTTGGTGGTTTGAATTCTCCAGTTGGAGGTTTTTACTGATTTGGTAGCTAGAGGTGAGAATATGTGAGCATTCAAGAGGTTTGGTATGTCTAACAAAGCAGAAATTGTTGTTTAACAAAACTTAATTACTCATTGGGAATGATTTTGGTAAATGTATACAAGAAATATTATTAGATCATGGCTGAACTAAATCTAAACTTAATATACTTTGAGTGATGAATTTACTCTAGTTTTTAATTTTTTAAATGTATAGCTTTGAGCTTTCAAGTAGTACCTGATTAATTCAGGCAAGGAATTAATTAATTSAGGCTCCACTGAAGAAATGAATTAGTTTTCCTTTCTGTATTTCTGTATTTCCTTGTTTCATGGAAGTATTAATTTTGAATACCTGGATGATACTTATTAAATTGCAGCCCTGCTACCAGAAAAAATTGTAAAACTGAAATGATACTTTAAACCTAGATGCTGCTTGTAGAAAAAAAATATTTCTGTCTGCAGATCGACAGGTTTAGCAGTAACATATAGTTTATTTTATTTCATTATTTATTTGATCCAGTATTAGAGAATGAAATTATCTTCAGAATAGATAGTGATAAATTTGAGAAGGACCAAGGTGTAACTTGAAACTCAGCTGAAAATAAAGTACATATCAAATTTGGTTCACGTTTTCTGGGTGGAAAGAGGAGGGGGATGAAGAGAAGAAAACAAACACCAAAGATGAACTGAAATATTTTCAGAAACCAGCTGAGYAGTTGGTCCCCTCTATGAAAGATATCTAAACCCACTTTGTAATTTTTTTTGGAGGTAACAAATGCCAAGTAGATTTTAACTTGAAATTTTACACAGGAAACTGCTGCATTACAGGTCAAGTGGGAAGACTCTTTTCTTGATTCTTCAAAACGAGCATRATAGTCTGACACGAACAAAAAATTCTGTGACAGCTATAAATCACAGCTTTTTAATTATGCATAAGACAACAATAGTCTCAATGGGGATAGTGAGCTTATATTTGGCGCAAAACAAAATTCGGTGAATTGTGAAAAATGCTTAATTTGCACTCAAACTATTCACAAAGCTTCATAAAGTGATGAAGTGGTGAGAAAGAGGAGAGCAGAATACTCCCCTTTGTTGAATACCTTTTAAAAATGTCATTATTTCTTCACATAAACCATTAAGCTTTTATGTGGTTTATGTTGGGCTTTTTACTTGCCTCTAAGTTCTTTTGATGAGACAGCAAACTTCAATGTCAGGTTAAAAACCACCATCCATTCGAATGTAAAGGAACTTGAAATGTCACAAATACATAAGAGAAGYGAAGATGCTGGTTCAGGTTCCCTCTAATAAGCTGCAAAGTTCAGTGTCCATGCCAAGGTGCCTTTTCCATAAGGCAAAAAAAAACCATGACCTGGCTTCTGCTGCTGCTGTGCTGCTTTATAGAAACATGTTATAGATAGCTGGACATTGATTATTTGGACAGACAAGAGGTGGAAATTGTATGGGTAATAGGATCATGTTCCAAACTAATTGCTTAATTATTTTTCTCCATCATTTAACCATTTGAAGAAGAACTGGAATTAGTGGGCTGTAAGGAGAAACTGAGCATTCAAAGCACACCAACTAATAATTAAAATAAATTGCCTATATAATACCTAAATTTGTGTTTAAATGCTGATTTAGATTTCTGAAGTTAGAGGGTTGGATGAAACAATTCCATTAGAGGGCAGTATTACATGTGGGTAAAATGTCTCGTGTGCTAAATATTTTGTTTAGCATCAGCGAATGGAAGTGGAAAATGAAGCTAAACTAATTTAACATTAAAAAATACAGAAACATTTTGTAATACACAAGTACAATAATGCACATCCCATCATATATCAAAAAAAGAGCATGAATATGTCAGAAGTGATGCAAAATACACCAGCTAAGATAGAAACTGAAGTTATTTGTATTCTCAATTTGCGTATTGTATAACTTTATTTCTGGGAARTTTATGGTTTTGGTAAAAAACATCTTATGACACTTTAATTTTATTTGCTTTAATGCAGCAGTCCATATGCAGAGTTTCCAGCTTYTCAAGCGAGGGATTGCAGGGATGTGCATGTTTATTCAGGTGTTTTTTAGTGGTTAAATATCAGTTGTGTACTGTGGTTTGACAATGATTTCTGCAAAACATTTAGGAGTTTTTATGAGTTTTGAGACATTTGTTATGTATGAAATGAGAGCCTAAATGTACCTGGCTAACATGGCAAACTCAGTCCATATTGTTTTAATGCTTTGCTATGTCTAATCCAAGTAATAACACAAACACCATTTCTTTTTCCATTTTCAGTTGTGTTACTTGATACTACAACTGCCCTTGGAGAACTAGGATGGAAAACATTTCCTTTAAACGGGGTAAGTCTCTCACCATTTTGGTTTTTTTGGGTTTGTTTTGGTTTTTTTTTGTTGTTGTTGTTTTTTTGGGGTTTTTTTTGTTTTTTTTTTTGGTTTTTTTTTATGGATTTTGGCATTCTGACACTCTGGAAGTGAATGTGTCTTAGGCCTGGGTGGATATTCTTGCAATATAGCTCTTGTCAGAAAGATCTGAGTTGTCATTGATGCTGGAGCTGCCTGTGTTGTGAGTAGGAATAACAGATGCAAGAGTGACATGAGTACACATTATTATGCCTTTCTCTTACTTTTCAGCATACCAAGAATGTCTCTTATTTTACATCTAATTCTAACTGTTACATATCATAAAATTTCTTATTCAAAAATCCTATGCTGAAGGAATGTGTTATGATGACTTTTTTTTTTGTGAAATAAAAGGAAAAGCAATTTCCAGTTTTGCAAAATGGAACTAAAATTTTAGGATTTAGGTGAGAACCAATATGGACCTTAGTATCTGATAACATGGTGTCAGATTACCTAAATCAGAAAAACAGAAACATTAATAATCTGTTATCCTTGGGAAAGTGAGCATTTTTACTYTAAAGTTCAACCATCAGTGTTTTGCCAGTGGCTACACTTTCAGAATCCATTTTTTTTCTTTCCACCCAGCTAATGCATGWCACAGAATATCAGGGACATTTGTARTTTCAGTTTTAAAGTAACATGCACTATTCTGGAGCACTTTACACCTTTTGGATCAACTTTTAGTTCTAATATCACTGTGCATACTGTATATCACTTATTTTTATATTAGATAGTGTTATCTCTTGATTCTTGTGTATGAGGCCTATAATTGCTTGYTTCTCTGAAATGAGCTTAGAAAATACTGTTTTTCTGAGAGAAACATCTTGTTCCATTTTCAGTCTTTTTTTCTCCATGATTTGTTCCAGAAGGAAGTAGAATTTGTCTACCCTCAGTGCCCTAATAATCCATTTTAATAAAATGCCTTCTGTGTCTTTGCCTTGAGGAATTTCCAGCAATGTAACATTTCTTAATCTCAGCCTGTTTTCAACTTTGTRGATTACTCTTTTTCTTTGTATTCCTAGACATAATTTCCATCTCTCACAGATACTTCTGTATGTATGCAGTCTCATGCAATCTGAATTATAATTCTGAAACTTTTATTTCCTTTAAAAACCCTAGACAAAGAAAACACTGTCATACRGTACCATGAAGAAAAAATGCATGAAGGAACTTTTTCTCTCACAAAAAGTAAATACTCACATATACCATGATGGGAAAAACCAGTGAGGAAAGTTTTCCTTGACCATTGGGATGACCTTCATTGGAGTGTACAATAYATTTGGAAGGAACATAAGATATAATTGCAGTTATTCTGTAAATTCTTAAAAGCTTCAGGTACTCCAGAAGCAGCAGCCATAGTATACAGGTACAAAAATATGTGCAGTCCAAGTTGATTTAAAACAGCTACTACAATATATATGCTTTAGTCTAAATAATAGTTTTGGAGTCTTTTGAGGTTTTTGGATGTCTTAGGACATCTGCTGTGTTTATAATTCCTGGGATTCAATTATTAGAGCATTTCCCATATATGCACAAAGAAGTTAGGGGAAAGAAAAAAGAGCTGKAGTAAATAAGGGGGAGAAAAGTGGTTTGTAGTATAAAATTGTAGAATAATTTAGTTTGGAAAAGAACCTTTTAGATCACTAGTCCAACTGTTAACCCAACACCACTGTGTTCACAACTACACCACGTCCCGAAATGCCACATTCACAMACTTTTTGAACACTTCCAGGGGTGGTGGTTTATGTCCACAGTACTAGCTAATCTGAGTTACTAAATCTGTCGTAATATAATTGGCACAATCATTAGTGTGATTTGGATTATCAGTGCAGAAGTAAGAATCTATTTTGTCCCATTATGGGCACATTAGAATTTTCTTGTTTCCTAGAGGAGAGTGATTTTGAATTGTTGGTGTTTTTTGAAAGAGATTTTTGTTCAGATACCGTGAAAATCTAAGATGTTGTTTTAATTAAATCTCTTTTTTAAGTGTTTATGTAGTGTTTATGTTTGTTAGAAGAATGTCATTGACAYATGGTTGCTGCTCTGCTGAACATTTTTGATGTTAGGAGGATGGGCTGATGGGTKTTCTTGAGAGTGTGACATTAGCAGAAGTCATTAATTTACTGGCGTACTCAGTCACAAGGAATGTTTTCATTAAATGAGAGAGCAACTGAAATAATAATGCTTGGGATTTGGGTAATATTGAGTATGCCTCAGAGATTTTAAACTAACAGGGTAGGGCAAAGTAGGATAAAAAAATCAGGAGGTTCTTTTGGAATTTGCAGAACTTTAACCTTCACCTCCCAGGCTTTGTATTTATAGCAGATTCATTACATAATATTTGTAAGCTTTCAGCAGCTTTGGTCATAACTGAGCTGCAAAGATAWCTGTGTTATCCATGTCTTGATAATAAAATATGTGCTTTTATTTTGTAATTTTCTTCCCAGTTATTTGTGCATTCTTCCTGAAGCATGAGAATAGTTTTCTCTTAAAAATTATTCTTTTATTTGCATGTCAGATTTTTTTCCTTGTATTTTGAACAGGTAATACATTTAGTGCTTAGAGCTACAAAATGCAGCATAAAACATTAATATCTTTGAGGTCAGTAGCATCATCTTTTGTTGATTGAGTTCCAATTTAGCTTCTTGGTGATGGGCTGTCTGAAATTTCTACTTTAATAATGGACACATTTGATACTTCCTCTGTTCTTTGAGCTATAGTTTAAAATGATCGATTGATTTATGAAAAAAAAGCATGCACTGTGGAATGACAGGAGATCGTTGCTCACCAAACCGTCACACCATAACCTTGAAAATACAGAACAGAGTTGTTGCTTTTCTGTTTGATTTTTTCTCTTTTTTTCTTTTTCTTTTTCTTTCTTTTTTCTTTTTCTTTTTTTTCTCTTCTTTTTCTTTTTCTTCTTCTTTTTGGATTGGTACAAAAGAATGGGAATGCACAAGTGCTTAAGTTTTGAAAGAGCATGTGAATGTGGGCTAGTGGGCAATCTGCTCGACTGAATTCCAACCAAATTCAGTTTGCTGACCTTGGGGAMACAATTAGGAATTACCAAAGAAACGAAAAACGTGAAAGTCTAAATGAAATGCAGTGGTTCACAACCTGTTAGGACTAATGCTAATAAAAYAGAGTACCTTATTCAACTCCAAATGGTGGGATTTTTCCTTCTGTCTTCAATGTAACTTTCTAAACCGTATTATTTGTTTTCCATTGCATTAAACAATGCAACACCATTTTGTAAGCAAAGTTTGCTCAGGAGCTCTTTGGGGACTATTGTAATGAGGACCTGTCCAGTTCTAATAAGTTTCTATCATAGAATCATATAATTATTTGGATTGGAATGAAGCTCAAGGATTTTCAAGTTTCAACCCCCTGCTGTGGGCAGGGATGCCACAGGACCACGTTGCTCAAACCTCAAASCATYCAGCCTGGCCTTCAGCACTTACAGGGATGGGGCAGCCACAGCTTCTCTGGGCAARCTGTGCCAGGACCTCCCCACCTTCACAGTAAGGAATTTCTTCCTAGTATCCARTCTTAACCTACTCTTCTTCAGTTTAAAGCCATTAACTCATAATATCATTCCATGCTTGTATAAAAAGTCTCTTTCCACCTCTCTTATAGCCCACTTTAGGCATTGGAAGGTTCTGTAAAGTCCCCCCACAGCCTTCTCTTCTCCAGGCTGAACAAGCCTAGCTTAGCCACTCCAAAAATAAAAGAAGGGCAAGGTGACTCACAGCACAGAGCTGTGAGAMATTTACATGTGCAAGAGACCTACACAATCTACCTTGACTTGTCATAGTAGGCACAATGTATTGCCTTGACAATAAAGAATATACTACAAATTCTAAATTATCCAGCAACTCTGTGAGTGTTTGAACTATTTTAGTGCACACAATTATTTGAACTGTTTCCTTGCCAACTGGTAATTTTCCTATTGATTTTTCCAGGGAAATACTTCTGGTTTGAATATCGTTTTTTCTTTATGCAATCTTTTAATTTTTTTTAGATAATTGTCACTAATATACAGTTTTATTGTTCTTTTTTTGTTCTGAATTTTTTTACAATAATCTTACCAAARTACTGAGGCTTTTTTCCCTACCAGACTGATTATTTTACCCTCTCTGTTAAAATAACTCTTTTACAGTAAATGCAGCAGTCAACAATTTATTTATAGCTGCTTCTTACCTAATTTCTGTAGTTTATGGTAAGAGAGTTTTGAGTGGCTTAGTACTGTTTGTCACAGATGGCACTGAGGTTTTCCTGTGCCAACCTGCAAACAATTCTTTCAGTGCACCTGTATCCATCTTCACCTGCATCCTTTAACTCCTGTCTCAGAAGGGAACATATTTTGGAACATTCCTATGAAATACTCTACATTTTTAACTATTATTTTTCTTAAGTAGACTGTCTTTGAACTGTCTTTATAAACCTAAATAAATTTATACACTTAAATAAAACAGTGGCATGTTCTAACTGCTGTTTTKGTCACCAGTATAAACACAGCACCATATGGACAGCTGGGAAGAAAATTAACTCTATCCCAGACACACACTGTGAACAAGCCCAGCTTGTTCATAGATGTGTGACAGTTAACAGGAAAAAAAAACAATACCCAGAAAACCACTTCTATCTGAAGGTATTTCACTTTTCTTCCAAAAAAATCATAGAATCATTTAGGTTGGGAGACACCATTCAGATCGATTTGTCCAACTGCAAACTAACACTGCCAAATCTACCACTAGGCCATGTGCATAAGTGCCACATTGACTTGTCCTGATGTGTCCAGAGTTGGGGACTCACCTACRTCCCTGGACAGCCTGTTCCAATGCTTGGTAACCTTTTTCATGAAAAAAACTTCCCAACACCCCATGCWAACCTCCCCTGGTGCAACTTTAGGCCATTGTCTGTCACTCTGTCARTTGTTC